TTTCCCATTGTAAAGGATGACCAGAACATCCCGAGTTCATTTAATACAATCGACTCTCTCTCCTCCTATTTGCTCTGACTTCTCTCTAGTTATTCCCGCAATAACCCCTTAGATAAGATACCCCCCGGGTACACTATCCATCAAATATGTTGTCACATTTCTTGAAACAAAATGATCAAATCATTCTCGAGACTGTCGAATTCCCTCCTTAATGGAAAAATTCATGAGAATTTTAGAATTTGCAGCAAAGATGTCTAGGATGTGTATATGCGTGTAGAGAAGTATTGAATTTTCTAGAATATTATTGGTAAGTTTTCTATAAAAGTGTGGAACACACTAAAACCATTCGGAAAAGTGGGGAAGCCTCTAAAACATGTTGAAGAATTGTGGAGTTCTCTAGATCCTTCCTTTATATTAGAAAAGTTTGTGGATACTTCTTGGAAGAATGTAGATGTGTAATGGTGTATAAAAATAATTCTAAAGAAGCTTTGATGAGATTAGTATAGATAGAGGTAAGACTGCTCATTTCTATGAGAACCTTTTGAGTTTTGAGTATGTAGATGAGTGTACAAGAGTCCTACGAGCTTGTTTTCCTATTCAAAATTTTGAACATATTAAGACTCGTATGATTGATTTACCCAGATTATAGATATGAGTCAAGTAGAATGTAAGGACTAATTTGTGCTAATGTATTACATTTTTCATTGTTTTTAATTATTATAGTTTGAGAAAATACATCATAAATCGTACCCTTAAGTGCGCCCCCCTTCAGAAAATCTCTGGCTCCACCACTGAATTGAAGGATCAATATGACTAATCTATGTAATACATAAAACAACTCATTAGAGAGTACATTCATAGTATCTTTATGGGGCAATTCTCTTTAAATTCCCAAAGTAAGAGCAACTCTTCATATCCTATCTTTTCCCTTGTCATGATTTATTTTCTTTAATAATAATAATAATAATAATAATAATAATAATAAAACATAAAAAATAAATATAGAATATAAAAAATAAATAAAATATATACATGACTCAACCATCATATTTACATTTTTCTATTTTTATTTTTATTATAAATAAAACTATGTTTTATTATTATTAATATAATTAAGTCCAATTGGGAATTATAGTATGTAAGAGGTATATATAAGATGAAGAGAGAACATATATATTACTTCAATTCTATTTTGAGAATAAAAATATTCCACTTCTTTAATTCTGTTGTTGCATTTAGGAGTAATTTTACTCCTGTTTAGACAATTATTTTAGATTTTTATTGGAAATCATAGGATCTGGAAGTGTAAGTTGAGTTCATACAAGTCATACAGTACGTGATACACAAAGACTCTTTGTTACTCCGTATATTTAAAAAAAGGAAAAAATGAAGACACAGCGTGAGACTTTAGGTTAAACAGTCAAAGGTTTAAAGCCAGAGGGCACCCGCTTTTCTAAGAAGAGGCACCAGATCGCCGGAGATATGAGCTGCCAAGACCTTGTCCAGGTCACCAAAAAGCCTGCCGCCGATGAAAACCGCCGGAAACGACGGCATCTGGGCGGCGGGATCTTCAGTGCTATTGAGAATCCGGGAAAGATGGTTGGTGACGGCGGCCTCGTCCTCCACATCGACGTCGTAAATGGTGGGGTTGGCGCCGAGGGCTAAGAACAGCCGCTTCATGACGTAGCACATGCAGCAGCCGCGCCTGCCGAACACCATGATCGCATTCTCCGCCACGAGCAGGGCGTAATCTCTGTCGCCGCTGCTGGAACTGGAGGAGCCTTCGCTGGTGGCGCCGGAGTTATTCTCCGACCGCGGCGATGTGAACGGTTGTTTCATAGCGCCGCTGAAATTGGAAGAGGCCGGGCTGCGGCTAAGGGGTTGGAGGGTTGTTTGTGGGTTACAATGGCGTTAAATTAAGATCTTAATATATTATAGGTGAAGCAAGTGTTGGAGACCGGGCAGGTTGTGTTGTCATTACTGACGCCGTGTGTACGTCACAAAATTCGTATCTAGAAGGCCCTTAGACAATCGAACCAAAACCAATTTCTAAAGACAAGACAATATCACAAATTCACAACTTTATTCTAAAGGTAAGTTTGCTGCCGTTGACCATACAATTAGGCCGGTCACAGTGACGTCAAGTATGATGGCAGTTTTTTAAAATTTTTGAGAAAAGTATGATGGTAGTTTTCCTATACTATCAATCTATAACCCCATCCGGTGCACCAAAGTGATAAGTGAATATGAGAGCTATATGATGGAAGCTAAGGACTCCTATCAAAGGACAAGGAAATAACTACACTCAGGAAGCACCAAGAAAGTGCACGGTCACTGAGAATGGTTGTGACTTGTGAGGAGGGGGCACAGACAAATATGGATGTGGTTGAAGCAACTCCAAAAAATTTGGAAGTGGCGGTGCTGCTCAGGCAGCACCACCATTAGCCAAAGACTTTGAGGATAAGCTCGAGAAACCTTTAGCGGAGGCTGGTCAAATCGTTATTTCCTTGCCAGTGACTGGAAAAATTGTAGTATATGTTCTTCTTTTGATTTGTTGTCGTCTCAGAACTTTTTTGTGATTTAAGCGTTTTCTTTTAATAGCACGTGCAGCATTGCTGTGAATGGAGTCTACCAAATTGCGGGGTTAGCGAGATTGTCAACTATTAAGCGTGATTACAACTCTAATTCCCATCCAAGTGTAGCCTTTGTTATGACGAACTTGTATCTGGTCCTCAGTTTTAATATTAATTAAGTTATCTTTTGTCAAAAAAATACTCTATCCGGTACGTGGCTGAACCAGTAATGAAAGTTTAGAGGAAAGTTCAAAACTTAAAAATTCACTATATTTTTTTAGTGTTTATAACTATATATACATACATACATACATACATACATACATATATATATATATATATATACATATGTTACGTTGTTGTATAAATATTTATATATAGAGATAATTACCTTAGGTATGACTGAAAGTTATTCACTTTTCCAATTTATGACCTAACTAGTTATTTTAAATAATTTTAAAATTCATAATATTTAAAATAAAATTCGTAATAAATAAATAAGTAAGTTAGGTTGACAAATACACCCTTTAGATTATATCTATAAGACCCTAAGCTCCAATTCTTTTCTCCAACCCTAGCCTCCATTCTCCCACCTCCGTAGATCCGCCCGCCTGTAGCCGCATATTAATGTCGTGCAGTAATGGCAATATAAAATGCAGTAATCTTAATTGTACGAAATTAGTGCAAAATGCACAAATTTTAAATAAGGGTAGTTTTGTCAATCAATATTTAAATATAAACAAAATTTCTTTATTTTTTTGGATTTTTGGTCATACAAATGTCTAAAAATTAAGTTAGTCATATTTAAGGAATCTCAATGAGTTTTAATCATATCCTAGAAAATTTCCATTATACATATGCATATACATATAAGAATGGGGGAAATGGCCCCGCCAGCCTCCCCTGTCCCCATATGAGATACTCCGTATGAGAATTCAGAGTGTCATGCCTCATTTTTACTTTTAAGTCCACCTATTTTTTGTTTATTGTTAATTTGTTGGAACAAAAAAATTAGAGCATCTCCAATAGGTGAGAACTCTGGTACCCATTTAAAAAATGGGGGTACCGTACCTATCATTCACTTGATTGGTCCAAATAGGTATATCATTTTTAATTTAGACTTAAATAATTGAACTGCAACATTCTGATTGGTCCATGTGGACAAAGGTATGGTACCTTATGGATACCATAGAATCTACCTCTCCAATATTATTTACTTTGGAGATAATTGCATGTCTAACTAGGAGTAAAACTTGTAAAAAGTGCAGTAAGTCCCAGACACAAGATACTCATCCCAAACGCCGGCACTTCCCATTGGTCCCCATCAACCTCCCATGTTTGCATTTGAAGCTCGCCAGATGCTACTCAAGGTCAACTTTTTTTTTTTACATTTTCCTCTCCATGTGAGGCTGCGGCGAAGAGGGCTTCAGCGACAGTGATAAAACTACACGATGGCGGATGCATCTTCTTTCATCTACAGTGACTCACGCTGGATCTGAAGAAGACGGCCAGTGGTGAGCAAACTCTTCTTCCTCTTCTTCGTCTATAGCAACTCGCGTCACGCCAAATCTGGAGATCCAGATTCTAATTCTTTATCGATTTGGGCATTGCCACTCAAACAATCGATATGGGGCATCGATTGTGTAAGGGATGGGGGCTTGGAAGTTGGGGGAGAGGGCTGGGCAGGGGTGTAGTGGTGGAGGATAGGGGTGATGAGGGTGGCTGGTAATAGTAGTTGACGACAGTCACAGTAGGGTTAGGGGCTTGGGTAGGTGGGAGAGGGGGTTGGGGTGGGGTTAGTGTAGAAGAGGGGATGGGATTGGCGGCAGGCGGTGGTTGAAGGTGGGTGGCAGAAAGTGGTGGTTTCCGGCGTGGACGACGGTGGTGGAGTTAGGCAGGCACTCAGTGTAGGAGTTGGGCGGCCCGTCACTTTGTCCGGGGTGGACCGGTGGGCAGGCAGTCACTTTGGTTGCGGCATCGGCAGTCACTGGTGGGCGGAGTCACTGTGGCGGCGCAGTCACTGGCGAGCGAAGTCACTTTGGCGGCGCAGTCACTTTGACCAGGGTCACTTTGCATTGCAGGGTTAGTTGTGATGTTGGTCACATTTTTGGAATTTTTTAAAACATACTCCCTTTGTCCCTCAACGGTTTGCAAAGTTTGACTGACACGTAGAATAACAAAGTAAAAACTGTGTGGTAGAGATTGTTCACAGGAGAGAGAAATAATAGAGTCACAAATTGATTAATTAAAATAGAAAGTGGCAAAGTTTTTGAAATAAAAAAATACAGTTGACAAAGTTATAAGAGATGATGAGAGTATGACTTTTTGTCTTGTATCCTATTTTTAATAATATCCATACCAAAAGACCCTGTTTCATGCTTTTATTGTTGCATATAAGAGTAATTTATTTCTATTTTAGGGTAAATAGCCGGATCTTTATTACAATAAGAAAGGCGAAAATTACCTTAATAAACAAATAAAAAGTTATTATGGAAATCGAAGGATATAGGAAAATAAATATAGGTTGAGTTCATAAGTTATACACAAATACTCTTTGTTACTCCGCATTTAACAATTATTAAAGGAACTTTTAAAAAGTTAAAGAGAAAAAAAAAATGAAGCTAAGAAATCAAATCAAAGCCAGAGGGCACCCGCTTTTCTAAGCAGAGGCACAAGATCTCCGGCGATATGAGCGGCCAAAACCTTGTCCAAGTCACCGAAGAGCTTCCCGCCGACGAAAGCCGCCGGAAACAACGGCATCTGCGCGGCGGGACCTCCAGTGTAGCTGCGAATCCGGGAAAGCTGGTTGGCAATGGCGACCTCGTCCTCCACATCGACGTCATAAATGGCGGGGTTGGCGCCGAGGCCCAAGAGCAACCGCTGCATGACGTAGCACATCCAGCAGCCTCGCCTGCCGAAGATGATTATCGCATTCTCCGCCACGAGCAGCGCGCAATCTATGCCGTCGCTGCTGCCGGAATCGCACGAGCCTTCGCTCGAGGTGGCGCCGGAGTTGGTCTCCGATCGGGGCGATTGTTTCATGGTTAAAATTCGGATCGGAGAGTTGATTGAGAGATGGAATGGTGTTTAATTCAGATCGTTATATTTTAATACGAAGCGGAGTATATAACAGGTAAGCCAACTAGTATATCATGGCTGACGCACGCGTATACGTCACCGTACTAGTATCTTATGTGCAAATTGCGAAAAATAAAACAAGACGGAGTATATGTATCACCCAACATTTTATTTTACAGCTACCTTTGCTACCGTTGGATGGGTTATACTTCTTCGTATTACCATATTCAACTACGCCGGCAATAGTGACGCCAGGAGTGACCGACAGCGCTACATGTTTTGATTGAGAAAAAGTTAGGAGTGTTCTAGTATTATTCAAATCGGTTGTATTGACTCAATGTAATGAAATTTACTCCCTCCGTCCCTGAATGTTCTTCCGATTGCGGATTACGAAGGTTGACCGACGATAAAGTTAAATGATCCCTGTGAAAACTCGGATTATTTTTAGTAAATAAAATTTACATATTCAGAAACTACATTAAACCCGCTACAAAGCCTGCACAAAAAAAATCAATTTTCATAAAGTTTTGATACAAAAAGTAAGAGTTTAAGAGTGATTTAAGTTGACTCTCGAAAAGCGAAATGGAAGTAAATTTAGGGACAGAGGGAGTATAAAATTCTGATCGAAATGACTAGATTGGCTGATTTTGATGGTTTATGAAAAAAAATTAAAATATACTCCCTCCATCCCTTATAGTTTTGGCAATTTTTCATTTTTGGATGTCTCATTAACTTTGTCACTTTTCCATTTAAGTAAAGAATTTGTGGTTCTTGTTAATTCTCTCTCCTCTGCACAAACCTCAACCACAAAGTTTTTACTTTATTAATCTCTGTGTCGGTCAAACTTGGCAAAGTTATTAGGGACGGAGGGAGTAATTTATAATAAATTAAAGAAAAAGTGACAAAAAACTAGTTAAAATGATCATCAACCGTAACTTCGGCCAATACAATCGAAAAATAAGTTCAATCTTACTTTTTGTTATTATTATACAATTCAACATGCGAAATCATATGTTATGTGTTTGGTGATAAAGTTAGCTGATATAAGTAAAAAAACAAGATCATCGAATGACTCTAAATATACTTGTATGTACTATGTAGTATGGGTGGCATGCCTCTTTTTTCTTCTTAGGACCATTCGTTTAATGTTTTTTATTGAACTTTTTTTGTAGCAAAATTTAATTAGAAGATAAAGTGATAAACGGAATTTGTCTTTAATACAGAAAACTGAAAGTGATATTTTGCTTTTACTCTTAATTTTGTTTTACACTCTTAATTTGATATACGTGTCGCTACTTTTGTTTGTTTATACAACTTCTCTCATAATTAATAAAAGGTGCCATACCTTTGCTTGAGTGGCCAAATAATAGATAGACAAGTGGACATATAAAACACATAGATATAATGACGAGGCAATCAGTTTAAGAAAAAGAAATTTTGCACTTTAGTCCTTGAACAGTAAATGGCATCTTCAATTCTAACGGAGACATCTAATACCTAATAGTTCACTACTCTCCACTAGGGGTGAGCATAAAACCGGAACCGAACCGGTACCGAACCGTCCCGTAATGGTACCGAACCGAATATCAGGTATTTAAATGGTTCTATAGATTTTTGTCCCGTACCGAAACTGTACCGTTTGAAACGGGTACGGGACCGGTCCTAGATTTTGAGAACCGAAATATACCGGACCGAACCGTTCGAAAATAATTCATTTGAATTTTGTATATATTTTCTATACCAATAGATCTCTTTTATAGACCACCAATTTTATAGCCCAAGTATGTATTTATGTGTCCTTAAAATAGCTAAATGTGTGTTTATATATATTGTTATTTTTTGTTTTTAGATAATTTATGTTATATTTAATATGTGTTGATCGAAAGAATATTAGAATTTTAAAAATCATTAATGACTATTCATTTCTAGTAATGTTGTGTACATGACTTTTTGTTGTATCATGTTTGTGCAATTTTACAACTTAATTAATATAGCTTAAATCTTAGCTCTCAAGGTTCAACTATAAATTAAATAAGAACTACGGAGTAACATAGAACGAAGAAGAAGAACGTTGAAGATTTCTAATATATTATATTCTTTTTTATATTTCACATGAACTTAGTAAATTAAAGATGATATTTATATCGTGCGTCATCGTTTTGCTATACTTTTTCTTAGTTGTGTTGCACTATTTGTGTAGTTGTGAGTTTTAGTACTACATATGCAATTTCTTGTATTCATATCAACATTTCATGTGAGTTGGTTGATGTAATGATATATACGAATTGTAAGATTTATTCAAAAAAATTAGCATGTGTTTGACATTGTACCATACCGTTTTGTACCGTTCTGAAGCGAAATGGTACCGAACGGTTCCATCCTTGAAACCGGACCGGACCGTACCGGACCGTTAAAAACCTCACAGATACATTATGGGTTTTACCAATTTACCGGACCGTTCCGGACCGCGCCCACCCCTACTCTCCACAGCAACCAACGAAAGAAGAAAGAAGTTTCGGAAGAAAGAAGAAAGGGTGTATCCTTCTCTTCATCGCAGCCTAAGAGCACCCTGCCGTTTTTCACGGGCTTCACTTGTCCGCCCAATGAATTGAGAATTTTTACGTTTTGAAGGATTCTCCTTCGGTATGTATGCGACTTATTCATCAATCAAATTTAGGGTTTTAATTTGTGCAAAATAGCTATCCAATATCCAATCAAAATTAGAGCTTTTAGGACTTGTTTGTCTGCAAATAACTTTGACCTTATTCTATGGGTTTATTATACGAATGCAATGTAGTTCTAATGTATCACCTATTTCTTGTATTGTTTTTCCATCTTGAAACATGTGGTTACTTTGTTAGAATGTGCTGGGAGTTAATTTAGTTTCTGAAGTATTAAATTAATGAATTGCTGCAGCTTCAATTCTCATTTGTGAAGTTATGCAAAATTGTTTAAAGTTCCATATTTAAATGCTTTCTATTGTCACTCTTCACTAGATTTTCCTAACAAATTTACAACCTAAGACCAAATAGGAATTAGTTTCATGATTAATGGAATAACCTTCATGTAGGGATGTCTGAAGTGTTTGCATAGAAAAGCTAGTTGTCCTGATATCCAAAAGCTTGTGACCAAAAGGTGACCTTGAGGGCACATTCCTTTACCAAGGGATTGGTTCCTGCAATGTAAACACATGCTCATTTGTTTTATCTCTACAATTTGCTCAGACACCATCACACCACAATAAATCTTTTGGCATCAAATTTTATCTATATGGTCTTTTTCCAAGGAAACAAAAAAAGACATAAACATTAAACATATGTCATATTAGGTTCACACATGAACAGAATTTGTCCTAATAGGTACACTAGTAAATAAATATTCTCTTGATTTATATAAAGTACTGTTATTCTCTTAAGGTCATGCCTTTTGATATTACATTTTTACTCATGGGAAAAATCTCATTATAGTTGTAGTTAGCTCACACGGTCTAAGGCATTAATGTGGTTAATTGATAATATAAAATTAATCCAGAAAGTGTAGCTTGATCTTAGCTCTTTCTGTTTTTAATTTCAGATATATTTGAAATAGTTACTCCTAGAAGAGTGTGCATCTGGATTTGTAATATTTTAGTACAGCCTCATATATATAATCAATACCATTCCTCTATGGAACTTGATGTTCTTTGTGAATACATAGGTGACACAAAACGTCCATCGTTATAGTATTCCAATTGAAAACGCTATCATTTAAAATCTGAAATTTAATTATTGTTTTGTTTAGGTGCTGAGTTCATGCTTTGGAAAAAGTTAAAATAAATGTTTCTTTCCCGTGGTGGATGCTATATATTTCTAAAGAATCCTAGTTTTCCTCTATCCTTTTTGCATCTTCTTATGCTTTTAGAAGACCCAATATTCGATCAGTCTTGTGTCAAACCAGAATGTTCAAATGCTATGAATTGATTTGTATATGTATAGCCAATCACATTTCTTCTTCTTTTGAGATTAAATATAAACAGTTCAATATAATGAAGCCATTTATATGTGAAACATAAAGTCCTTTGGTCCTCTCGTAGGCACATAATCTTAGTTTTGAGCAGTGCTAGATAAACACATTTCCCTTGTATTTTGATTAAAATCTGAAGTTTTCTTCCATCAACAACAAGTTGGTTGTGTCTTTTATCTTTGGCTAAAGGGTCAAATAGGCTATTGAACTGACTAAAAGTGTTTAATTAGTCCCTTATATAGGAGGTTATGCCCGGTCGTCGCCAATTAGGGCAGTTCCCGGTGGAATTTTTTGATAAACTTTTTTTTAGCATCTTCTTCATTAAGTCTAGTTTACTCATACCAAATTTCAGCTTAATTAAAACTTCAATCGGGAAGGCATTCAAATGATTTTTTGAAGATAACTGCAAAGTTAAACAACGCAGTACATTTAGGAAAATCATTTGACTGCCTTTCCGATTGCATTTTTAGCTGAAATTTGGTATGGGTAAACTAGACTTAATGAAGAAGATACTCAAAAAAATTCATCAAAAAATTCCACCGGGAACCGTCCCAATTAGCGACGGCCGGGCAGAACCTCCTATACAAGGGGCCAATCGAACGCTTTAAATCAGTTCAAGGGCGTATTTGACTCTTTAGCCTTTATCTTTTATGGAAAATCTGGCTAGAATTTGAAAACTAGAGCTCTTTGCTTAGAACTGTTGGAACTCCTGTAGTCATCATCTAATTTTGATGCCTTTATGAGAGAATATAAACATCTAAACGTATTTTCGAATAGATGCCTTTATGGCTGAAAATTGAGAAGAAAGGGAAAAATAAGAAGAACATATTAAGAATAGAAGAGAAGAAAGAAGTGAACGAAGTTAAAATACACCAAAGAAACAAAAAAAGAAAAGAAAAGGACTTTAAATTAATGAAAATATAGACTGAGTGATATTAATATAAGAACTTAATAATCTGTCCTTACAGGTATCATTCAGTCTAAGATCCTGTCTTTCAAGCATTATGTTCATAAATTCAAAATATATTTCAATTTTATTAGATGTAAGTATAGTGTAATGGATTGTTT